ACCAAACCCAAACTTTAATCAAAAGTATACTATTTTGTACTTAATTCATAACTTTATCTCTCATAACCTAATCGGCTAAATTCAGTAATACTCAATTGCTATATACAACAGATCAAAATAAGAGCATTATCAGTAGGGTTGTTAATGGAGTACTCCAGACCATAATAAAATATTTAAACCTTTTCTGGAGTACTCCGGAGTGGGTTATATGTCTTATTATTAACTAGAGCACTTCATTAACAACCTTATAAACCAGTAATTAAACAATAACTCATCAGTGCAAAAAAGAAGATGAGTTAGTACAAATTCATGCTAATGAAATATGAAACCAACTAAAACTTCAAATAAAAAAATACAAACTAATTAAAAATAGTAAAACTGTTGAAACGAATAATCTATTGCAAATCTTAATCACAAGTTCAATATCAAATATCAAAAAAAAGTATTTTAAGATGAATTTAGTAAGCCTAAAGCATTATAAATAAAAAAAATTATTATTTTATTAAATTAAATCAAAATATATAACTTATTGTTATAGAAGTTTGTGCTGGATTGAGGCTAACTATTCTTGAAGGTATAGCAACTTGTTATACAGAGCTTTTAAAAAGAGGTTGTGCTAAGATTTAAAAATGATCATTAGTTTCAGAAATTTATAAAACTGCTATACTTCAAATATTATATATCTTTAATATTTTATTTCTATAGCATTATTTAAATATTAATATTCAAACAGCCAGATTTATGTAATTATTTGATTAATCAATCTATTTTGAGCTAATAAGATTATAGTTAACATTGGATAATATCTATAGACAATGTCCAAATGTTCACATTTATTTGATTGGTTAATTTATATCTGTTAAGTTAGCCAATAAGATTATTGCAAACATTGAACAATGTCTGCTAGACATTGTTCAATGTTCAAACATTTGATTGGTTAATCTACAGACAATATCTACCAGACATTGTTATTTTTGGATATAAACATGGACATCTGGTCCAGTCCAGTCCATGTCTATATCTGTGTTCTATGACAACATTACTAATAGTAGAAGTATGCTATATTATTAACAAATATCAGAATTAATAATCCAATACTTAACAATTACAGTCAGAGATTTTTCAAAGTTGTGTAACACAAATTATTGCATTTTTGATAAAGATCTGCAATTCTATAGTACAAATTTTGGCCAAATTTTGGCCATATTATTGACTGCATTGTTACACTTATGTTATTTAGTGCAAACCCGCCTTATAAAGCCTTAGAGATCTCCAGGGATTCCTAAACTACATAGCCTTAGAATACTTTTTGTAAAAAAAATTTAAAGGATTTTTTAAAACTAATAGTTATTTTCAGATAATAAAAAATGCTTTTGTTTTTCAATTGAAATCAGGTTTTAGAATATCCTTCTAATATATTTGCAGATTATTTTCATATCACATATAATTCTAGACTAAATTAACACCAAAAAAATTTATTAAAAATAGAATTTAATGATTACAGAGAATTATAATTAAACTACCAAAGTACTAAAAGAATACTTAGAAGATTTACAAGGAATAATCTAATTAAATTTATTAATTAACCTATTCTACTAACAGATATTAAAATTAATACAAAATTTAAACAATAAATACTCTTGTGCACAATTAAAAGAAAGAACAAATAAAAATCTTATTTTAATATCAGTACTCGACAAAATTAATATAATAACTTTACTTATATTATAAACAATAGACTTTAAGCAAATATTCAATAAATATTGAAAAGAAATATCTAAAGAACAAAAGAAAGCAGAAGAAATCTATCTGCAAGAATTAAAAGATTTAAAAAAAAATTTAAAAAGTTTAACTGATATTGAGTTAGAGTAAAAACTTAAATTGCTGCAAGATAAAAATATTGCTAATATTAACAGCTTTTTAATAATATATCAAAAGAATAGAGCTAAGAATATTAAAGAAATTGATAAAAAGATAAAGAGATTTGAAAAATATATAAATGATAGAAAAGTATACTTAAAAGAATTTAATAAACAACAGTAGAAATACAAACTTATACAACAGATTAGAAGAAACAATACGACAAAGAAAATTTAAATTTATTTGAAACCTTTTATACCAAAAATCTAAATTCAACCTATTAAAAAAAATATTCAAACAAAGAACTAAAAAACAAATTATTAACAATATAATTCAAAGTACAAAACAAGTTCAAAGATGACTACAACCAACAAACAATAATAAAATAGAAATAATTTTAGTATTACTACAAACTATAATATAAATAGTACTGTCAATAGATCTAGCAGAAGGAGAAATATTTAAATATAAATTAATTAAAATTCAAAACTGATATATAAATTAATTAATCATTATACAATCTTAATTAGGAGTAATATTAGACGAAATTCAAGAAAAAACCCAAGATCTAATAGTCTAACAAGAAGTATTTTTAATACCAAACAAACTAGAATCAGTTATAACCTATATTCTAAACACTACAAGAAACTTATACTTACTAGAAGAAGCAACCTACTTCTTTGAATATGATGAAGAAATCTAAGCAAAATTATTAGAAAAAGGAATTAAACTATTCAATAAAAACTTAAAAGCTAGAGAATTAATTCAGAAAAGAATTCTTGAACTAACTAAGGAGTTATAACAACTAGATAACAAAGTGAAAAAGAATTAATATTAAAAAATATTTTGACTTTTAATATAAACTAACAAAACAGGAAAAAGAAGATGAAAAATACAAATTGACTATAGAAGAAACCAGAGTATATTTTAAAGAATACAAAAAAACATAGAAGAAGAATACTATAAAGAAATTTTGCAAAAGAAATTAAAAGATAAAATAAGATATTCTATAAACTTATTATTTATAAAAAGAAAAAAAATAAGTTTTATCTTCTTTCTAATAAGTATCCTTCAAAAGATAGACTATTTCATTAATGAATATGTCTCAAAAATAAAAGATATAAATTATCCAGAATATTCTTTTGTGTACACATTAGAAAAAAATAAAGAAAATTATAAAGAGACTTTTTAAAATAGACTTGAATCACAAATAGAAAACATATACCAGACAGTAGTAGAATTTTCTATAGAAGAAAAATTTAACAAAAAAAATTAAAACTGAATATAAAAAATATTAAAAAAACTAAATAACTCATTAAAAATACCTGATCTCAAAACTATTATTTAAAGAATATTACTGTTTTAACAGCAAATCACATGGCATAGAACAATAAATAAAACCAAAACCTTTAACAACAAACCAATCTTATATTTATTAAAATTACTAATACATGACTTAGAATTTGAATTAAAAAAAGTAATTTACAAAAGCATAACACTAGAACAAAAACCTTAACTATATATAACTGTTACAAAGATAATAACTATTTTTGGATAGCATCAAAAATAAGAAGTATATAAAAAACAATTAATTGGAAATATGATCGAGATATAAATACATATGTTGGAACAATATTTGAAGAATTTGAAAGACAGTGCAGACAAGAAAGCTATAAAAATTATCTAGAAGAAGTATATAAGAAAAGAACTGAAATAAGCATAAGCAAAGAATATTGGAAATCTGAAGAACAGACCTGGGAAAAATTTAGAAATCATCATGCAAGATATGGGAATGAGAATGTATATTTTAGAGAACCATTGAACCAAGAATACAACCAATTTGAGGAACTTTGAAACCTGAAGAACCAGCAACTAAATGACTTAAAAATATACTCGAATCTAAAGCTATTAGCATATCTTGATAAACAAGTATTCCTACATGACCCATATAACTTACCAAACAGAATAATGACATAAGCAATAGGATTTATAATAATAAAAGAAGAAATCTATATTCTACTAGCAGAACAAATTAACAACAATAAAAGTTTTTATAGAGCATTCAATGGAATGGGAGGAAATGAAAAATTAGACCAAAACAGAACTCCAAAAGAGATCATAGAAGTAACAGCACTAAGAGAAATATTTGAAGAATCAAAACTAGTAATTAAAAACAATAGACTAGTAAAAATCCAAGAAAATTCATATTATTCAACAGAAAAATGGATTGCAACAGGATGTAGACCAGAACATGCCAAATATTTTATAACTTTAGAATTATTCATCTTCGAACTAAATGATGAAGAGATACCCAAAAATACTGAACCAGAAACCCTAGGACCATGGAAATTTTATTCACTAAAACAAATAGAAAAACAACAAATACCACTGGTACCCATGATACTACAAAACCTCTATTATATATTTAAAAGAATTGAAGACTACACAATATTAGAACATATAAACCGAATTAAAACCACACACCAACATAGAATAATAAACCCAAAGAAAACATTCGCACGATTATTTGAAGAAATTGACTCTGAAAATGAAAAAGAAGAATTAACACCATTAACTAAAGAAGAATATGATGAAATCCTAAAAGATAAGGAATCCATCACTTCGAAGCAAATCCGAAGAGGACGATTATTTAAAGCCCAGATCCAAAAACAAATAGCCCCATTAAAACGAATAGAAAAACAATCAAGGATACAAATATTTATCAATCTTTGAAAAAGCAGACAGAATTAAGGCCGCAACGATAATGGAAAAATACCCAAGAGTAATCGACCTTTCAAAATTACCAGATATCGTATTAAACAAATTTAAAAAACAATATTACTATTATAATCTCAAGTATGATAATAATGGAAAAGCCTATCAGATAAAGATACGGCAAACAAATGAATTTCAAGTTACACTCGTAACAATCAATTTTTTAATGCTCGAGTACAAAGACTTGACCCTTATTTAGAAATTACCGGTAACACTAATCCGGCCACCTCAAACTTAACCTTAGCCGTTCAAATTCGGAAGCGTCAATCTCACAAATCCTTAAATATCACCGCTCGTAGGTTTTTCGACCTTCATCTTTCAAAACTTAATATCTGTATATACACAACAAATCAAATATCTAAAACATGGAATTTAATTTATTAAATGTACGTCAATTAAAAATATTTTCGTTACCCGAAGAAATCCTTTCATCACTTTATAAACAAGAAGCATTGTTGGAAGAAAAAAGTATTGTCGAAGATACTGTAACCGCTGTAAATAATGAACCTTTTAAACCAAGTTGTTTGGCGTGTGGCATTTCGTCTTTCGATACCTTTGAGCAGCAAAGAGCTCATTATAAGTTAGAGTGGCATCGATTTAATGTCAAACGTCGTGCTATAAATCTTGACGCAGGCAAAATTCATTATACTCCAACCTCTGAGCAAAAATTTGAAGAACTCATGAATGGTGAGTACCGTATAAGCGCGAAATAACGCGCAGGGGTGTAATTTCGGATTTTGGCCTAAGTTAAGCTTAATTCAGGCCATTATTCGAAATAACGCCCCTGCGCGTTATTTCGCGCTTGTACGGTATTTAAATAGTAAAATATATCAACAATTATTAATCCAATTCATACTTTTTTTTCAATTATAGAATGTCTAACAAGTGTTTCTGATTCCGAGACTGAAGGCTCTGATACTTCCTTACAAGACGATGTTTCTACTCTTGTGGACGAACTTCAAAATGTTGATCTTGATGAAGAAAATTTACCTGATAAAGATATTCTGAGATCATCCAAGCCAATATTTTGGTTTACTTGTTCGAATGAACTTCCTGATGATGTTTATCTTGGTGTGTACAAGCATGTCCTTAAGAATAGAGGAAATGATCCGAATACTGTCATGGAAGACATTAAAAGATTACAAATCAAATCTAATACCAATAAACCAAGGTATTGGACTATGCTGATGATCAGTGGTGGCCATTTTGCGGGACTTGTTTTAGATATTACGCAAAATACAAATGTGACAAACGTAGATGATGTTAAAGTGCATGTTAATAAAACTTTTCATAGATACACAAGTGAGACTCTTTCTCATATTTGAGGATTGATTTAAATAACTCTGTCTAACATATTAAATGAACATAGCGCGTCGAAAGCAAGGTGGGAGTCAGGCAAACAATGACAATTCTAAAGGAAAAGCCAAATCAGCTGGTGCGGAAATAAGGAGATATAATGAATCTGCGTTACAGAGGGATATTCGTTTGTTGCTTGAGCAGTGGAGACCGTTGATTGATCAGAGTGAATTTATATTTGTGCATGCTCCGGGCATGAACAAAAATATTATCCTTCATTATGATGGTGCTATCCTGCGAAAAGGTATTTTGCAAATTATATCATTTATAATGTATTTATTCTAATTCTATCTATATAAATTTAATTCTTATTACTCGTTTGGATAGATGATCCTCGCATTCGATCGATTCCATTTTCGACACGGCGAGCGGTTAGTAATATTATTAAATTTTTTAATTTATTGTTGATAATTTTTTATTTAATTTTACATTATGTTATAGAAATTCAATGAATTGAAAAGATGTTTCATCGAATTTATCACTGTTAAAGTTTCTCAGATGAGTGATGACGCTCCCGAATAAAGGTGGGTGCCCGAACTATGTCCTAATTCCCAAACTAAATTCCAAACTCACGGTACAAGTCAAAGAGGTCTAAATCAAGAGGGATTCCTTGTTTTACAGTTTGATAATCTTCATCTTACATTGGATGAACTTTTAGTAAATGATACAAATTACCAATCACAATGGCGACACCTAGTGTATTGAGGTGCTGAAATTTTTGTCCGCAATGTAATATCATACGTATTAGCCGAATACCTGTAATGCAAAATCGTGATTTGTGTGGCATAGTGCTGTAATACTGTAATAAGAAGTTATCCAGATTATAGTTTTTATATCGTTTGATACAGTCGTCCTCCTTTATAATAACGACGTTTGTTTTAAATAAAAAAGATGTGATTATAAAATTTAATAGTAATGTGATTATATAGAGTTTTTTTAATAAATATATATATTGCCAATAATTTTACAAAAAATAGTGCTTATAAAGAGGGTGTGATTATATAGGAGGTGACTGTAGAGGAGGACGACTGTAGTAACTTGAAATAAATTTACTATGTCCAATATGGTCCAGTCCAGTGCCTTTAGCCACTGGACTTATTAAATTACTACCATATCCTACCGTAAGTAAGCACTACACCCTTTACCCCACTTTTCAAATGTCAGATTAGCGGAAATCGCAATGAAGTCTTTAGCAAAATTATTCCCGCTAATCTGATATTTAAAAAAGTGGGGTAGAGGGTGTGGTGCTTATTCACGGTAGAATACGGTATGTCCAGTAGTCCAGTGGCGCAGCACTGGAGTGTAGTCCACAACCCTGGTAGCAATCTAACGAAGGATGGTATTACGTAATCTTACGATACTTATCTGTATGTCGTGACTAGTGATTCGAATTTGTTTTCTTGCCAATTCCGTTGACAACGCTGGTTATAGAGTTGCAGCATAACAGCATTTTGACATAATACGTAGCACACAATCATGGTAATTACTGAATTACAGTATTGTCATTAAATACGCATAAGATTCTTGAATGCTGTAAAGTCATAACCATACTTCATAATTATGAATATATATTGATATTAAAATAACTTGTATAACTTATATCCTGGTCCTATCATCCAGTGGAATACACAAAATATACTATCGTGAGATTTGCCTTGCTACTTCACTTAGTCTCTAGCTGGTACGTACAATAGCATTCAATATCACCTATATTATATTTGTTGTTTTTGCGGTCTATCCTCATGTATTCGACATACGACTTTTCGTGCGCCATAGTGGGCTGGACAGGAATTAGGTTTCCCGAAGATCCAGATAAGAATTATTTTTTTTACAGTAGTATTGTCTTGTCATTTTACTGTACGTAAACAGGAATACAACAGCAGACATGGTTAATTAAACTTAATTCCGGGTTTAGCCGTAGAAGCACATAATTTTTCATAATAACTAATGTCAACTTCAGCAAGTCAGTTCCTTACTAATGTTAAACAATTTATGAATTGAATTGAAGCGTAAATTCGAATTTTAGACACTAATTATTACATGTACAAATTATTCACACGTTAAAAAAATCTATACCGTACAAGCACGAAATAACGCCCACCTGCGCGTTATTTCGAGTACGCGTATGTGCGTTATTTCGAAATAAAGGTTGAATTCGCACCCTAATCATATTTATTATAATAAGAATTAAAAAGTGCTCCGGAATTGGGTTTGGCATTAAGTAAACATATTTTTTGGCATTAATAAAAGTTGCTCTTCGGATTTAGACTATTCTAACGGTAACAAAATCATTAAAACGGTCTAGTAATTCACCCGCAATGGCTCTTCAAAGTTTTGCGACGTTTATTTTATTTGTTCTTTTATACTTATTTATAGGGATGGACGTTAATTTGAAGCTATATACTATTTTAGTGGTATCTAATTTTCAAATTAACGCCCCTGAGCTTATTTCGCGCTGTTATGGTATAATAAAAATATATTTCCTTTTAACTTGTTTACATCGATATCGTCCACCTCTCGAAGAGGTATCTGTTCGAGTTTTTTCAATTTCAGTTCACCGATCATATGTCATTAATTTGAACAACTCTTTACAGTTTTCCTTATCCACTGCTTATTCTTACATCAGGATACCATCAAACTCTAATTTTTCTATTAATCCAGCCAGCAGTTTCATAAATCGTATGAATTATAATTCTTCTCATCTTCATGTACCGATTGTCCTTGTTTTCTTGAATATTATTACAAAATACACTACGTATCGGTATCTGGATTAATTCATGCCCATATTTGTCCAAGTCCAAATAAATTTTTATTGGACATAGTCCAAGTGCCAAAACTAAATTGATGATTTCTATCAAAATCACAATATAATTAGAGAAAGGTTCTTAACTTTTCGTGACCTTTTAACATGATAATGCGTACATGCCGTATAAAGCGTTGACTTAGTTGAGTTTTTCATCTTCCTTATAATAACCTCACTAAGCCTGAATTAAATGTATCATTGTATTTATTTTTATACATAAAACAAATAAGAACTTGAACGGGTGTTTTAACCCAAAATTTTTATATTGATTAATGGTCTCATCCCCTGAAGAATCCAGTCATGTATGTGGCGTTACAGACCAAAACTGCGTTTGATATTTTAATAAAATATATCAAATCATAATTACTTAACGTAGAAATGCGAGTCCTCCGCTTCGCTCCGGACAATTATTAGATTTACTTACGTATTTTAAATCTTTAATTTATCTAAATTGATTGCAACTTCATATACAGTATTAACGTTATTAATTTTATAAAAAAAAAACTAATGCTTTAAAACATATGGGCAGTTGAAATAGTGATTATTAGATTTATAAGTAATTAGGTCACAATTAGGTACATACATACAAAATTTATAAGCATCAGGTTACAATCAGGTACAAATTTATGAGTAAAATTCATAAGCGATTCATAAGCAATTCATTATCGGGCTTACAATCTCTGATCAAAAAATCACTTTTATTCTCAATAATCATGCCATATCACATAAATGATTGGCTCAAGTTTTATTTAACCTAATCACTCACATTAAATCACCACGAAATTGGAGATTTTCGCCCATATGAGTAGTGTTTAGCATTTTTTAAATAAATTGGATTCTTTTATTATTTTTTTTGTAATAATATGTAAATAAAATATTTTGTTTTTGGTTTGGCATAATATAAATTATATATAATTGTAAAATTGTAACAATAATGCTAAAAGTATTTCCAAGAAATGGGAATAATTCCTTGTATCAAATTTTTTGCAACCAAAATTTTTGACAAACAACAGGCTATGTTAAAAAAACAGACAAAAAACTGTTTAAAACCATAAACTGGTGCCTATTATTTAGAGATGGTTTTTATATGCTACCTGTTATAGGTTTAGAGCTTGGTAACAGTACTTGTTATTTAGAATTAGTTTTTATATACTATAGTCGAACCTTTCTATAGTCATCTTCTATATAAGCACATAGAGTTTCTATCAAATCAAATCAAATCAAACTGCTTGTGCTCTTCCAAGAGTTTTAATGAATTGTTTTGTGAGTCTTTCTACATGGTGTTCGAGCTATTTGATAGTGAAGTGAGAGCTATATGAGTTGGTGTGATTGAAATAAAAAGTTTGAGTTTGTTGTTGTTGGTGTTTTTTAGTTAACGAATCTGCAGTATTATTAAAGTGGTTGTTTGTGTGTGCTAGAACTTTGTGAAAGATAATCTGGATATTAAAAGCCTTGATGGCATTAAGGATTGAGTGCTAGATGGGCCAGTAATTAAACTTGAAGTATTTGGTAGACCTGGTAAAGGTACTTAAAAGTTTATTATATTTAGCAATAATTGATTGGGAGTCTGTAAAGATATCTACTTTGATGTTCCAAGGCAGAGTAGAGATGGCTAATAGAATTGCTATAAGCTTAGCTTTGTATGAGGAAGGCCACTCTGTAATCTTTGCAGAAAAGCTATTAATAATTTGGTTGTTAAGGACTTGTACCCAACTTACTTCCATAGAGCAGTTGCTAGTACTAATATCTAATACTGATCTATCAATATAGAAGATAAATATTTGCATGTTGTAGTTGCTAAGAGTGAATTGTACTAGTTGTCAACTTGCTTCACTATCATAGAACAGGCTAAGAGCTAGAGAGTTTATAATATTTAGGTTGGGTAGATGTGAAATTGAGATAGGATGTTTGATAGCTGTGAAATATAGAAGGTCAATATAATTAGCATTAAGTTTAAGCTATTTATTGTATATTTTCTTTTTGAGAAACTGTGTAGACAAAATATTTGAGCCCTCAATAGTACAATAATTAGAAAGTCAATTAGATTTAAGGTTATAGCCTGAGCATAAGGTGTATATAATTAGTGGAAGTAGGTATGGTAAATAGTGTTGTAGGTTTATATTATATTGCTAGAGTATAATAGATATTGAGTTAGTTTGTTTAAACTTTTTCCTTATCTGTCCTATAATAATCTAGTATTGGTAGTAAGTAAGTAGCTATGGCTTTAATTTTTTAAAAATAGTACTAGATTGGTATACAAATAAGGTGGGTGAAATTGTAGAAATATAGTTTGTAAGCTGGGATTATTAAGAACTGTAGTTTCTAAAAGAGAAAACCATAGAGGCTTTTTCCCTTTAGAGAGATATCATAATCTTGGAAAGATATGTTGCCATTTTAGCAAGTGTTTATTGTCTGCTGAGCTGAGCTATTCTAAATAAAAAATATGCTTGTATTAGAGCTATTGTTTGAATATTTTATAATTGGCAACTTTGGATAGTATAGACTCAAGAGATAAGTTGCTGTTATGAATTGTTTGTAGCTAGGCTATATTGGGGTTTGCTACTATGTTTATACCTACTTGTCAGAGCAATTGGATAAGTTTGCAAGTAGTAGTATGCTTGTTGAGTCCATCAATATGGGGTAGAGGGTTTTGAAGTAAGCTAGTAGTTGACTAGAAATTATTTTGTAGTTGCTAAAATCTTATATGAGTTGTAGTTCT